GGCATCGATGTGTATACAAATATAACAATCCCAAAAGGAAACACAATGATCAAATCCCATAATTGTTCTTTCTAAGAAATATATTTGAGAACAGGCTTTTCATAAAATCTCCTGCGCTGTCAGTATACATCCCGTTGTCGTTATAGGCTGAAAGAGAGAGTGTCTGAGATCTGAGACGGAGAAAAAAATCAAACTAGTGTGCATTTTAATCTGTATTTTGAACGATGAGTCAACTGCGAGTGACTAACACCGTGACTAACCAAGCAACCATGACACACTATCAATCCTTCTTCCAAGTGCTGTGAATATTAGAATCATCGACCAGCACGGTTTGAGTTTTGTCTCGTTTTTTTTTTTTTTTTTTGACAAATATTGATAATATTGTCATTTGGTATTTCTTCAACGCAAATCCTCAGGATCCTCAGTGATGGGATTCGGTGGAAAGATGAGCATTTTGCAGAGCCGCCTGTCAAGATTTTGTTGCGTAATAAGCGAGAGAATTTATGCGTGGGAAGACCTGTGGATTTAGCATCATATGTATTTTCAATAAAATAAGACTGACAGTGGATAAAAGCAGATGAAATATGAAAGCTGGTTCGCAAACGAATTGACGATTGGCCCAGGAAGGAAAATCTCCTTGCTAATGAACAGCTGCCTCATGTTGGGCAGAGAGGAAATGTGGTTTTAACCTGCTGAAAGGTTAGAATTTGATTGGATCTGTGCTTTCCCAGATTCGAGGCTCTGTCCTGCCCTTCCTCCACACCATCTGCCACTTATTTTAGTCCTGTTATTAAGCGCTTGTCAGTCATGGAGGGGTATTAAGCAAACAAACATTTGGCCTTGAAGAGGGACAGCCAGTTAGAGAGGCTTTGTTTCTCTGTGGAAGAAGGTCAGAGTCGGTCAATTCTTGAGTCACTTGGTGCTAAATTAATGAGTATAAAGTGATATACAGCAATGACTAGTCATATTTATATACTGTATAGTTGTATGCAGAGGTATGGACAACAATATGTATTTTAATGATCTTTTTTTTTTTTTAATGCAAAGAAGTAAACACATCCGCGACAACAAGCAATTTTAACATATTTCTGCAAATGTCAATGCACAGGTAATTTATATTTGATGAAAAAATAAAATGACTCACTTGGAAACACCCAATTATTTTTGACCTGCTTAACCAGTGCCAATGAGTCAGTTAAGGACCTAACGAGGACCAAACGTTACAACTGGAAGAAAAATTTCTATTATTTGTTCTGTTTTTAAGGTTTAAAAGAATAAATTAGCACGGATATTTGCAGAACAATTTTATTTATTTATTTTTAGAATAGTTTGTGGCGGAGCTTAAGTTTACTTCTTTTCCTGTCAAAAAAAAATTTCAACAAAATATACAATTTGGCCGGGGTGCCAAAACTTTTGCTTACAACTGTTTAGAGTTTAAATCCCAACAGTACCTCGCCATCCAGACCTAGCACCAAAGTGACAGGCGAT